CCCCAAAACCCCAAAACCCCAAAACCCCATAATCAATAAAAGGCTAATGCATAAAATAATGAAGATTACCTAAAATTTAAATTAATACCATTTTAGAGTATAACTTAGGATTTAACTTATATGACTATTCTATGATTAAAAGTACAACAAGCTCCGATTCATTTTATGATTATATTGAGTTTATCGTTAGATAATATGATTTCTTTGAATTTTTCAAAGTCAATGAAACCATCTTTAGGTACATTATGCTCACTCAACATATGTTCTATCTCTTCATTAGTAATATCTTTTCCCATCCTTTTCATTGCTCCCTTGATATTATGGATAGTTAAAACTTCTATATCCTCGTGATCAAACTCTTTAAATAGTGCATATATTCTCTCATTTGTCATTATTTCCTATATCGAAATAGTGGCAGCTATAAACTCGGAGTAATTTATCTCTCCATTGCCTTTGAAATTAACTGATTCTATAATTTTATCAACCTCTTCAGGCTTAACATCTATTCCTGCTGCCTTGATTCCATTCATGAGCTCTTCTGCATCAATCAATCCTGTATGATTGACATCTACCATTTCAAATTGCCTCTTCAGATGCTCAATCTCTCTTCCACTAATAGTTTTTACTAGTACATTCAAGGCAGCTTTTTTAAATTTAGATGTGCCCTAACTAAACTTTTGTAGGTTTAAAATAACATCTGGATCTAGGGTGTCATCAAATTATGTAGACTGTCGTCTTAATCCCTAAATTTGATCCTATTGAATATTGCTCGAACTATTTCTAGTCACATTTTCGCTTAATAAAGTGATAACTGGGCAGTACTTGTTAAACCAAGGATGCTATAAAGCATCTTTTGCCTATATTCTCTTCTTAGGATCAATTTGTAGTAGTTACCTAACCAGATCTTTACCATTTTAAGAAACTCTCTTCCAAACTTTTGTTTCAAACTTAATTTCAGGTTTATCATATATACTACGCAAAAGTTCCTCAGGTGAAGCGCCAGCATATGGATAGGATCCGCTGAGCAAAACACACATTAAAACACCAAGAGACCAAAGATCTACTTCCATACTCGAAATTCCTTCAAAAGCCTCAGGTGCAAGATACTAAGGGGTTCCTACCATCTTTCCTATGTCCAATCTATTATTTTTTACAAATTTTTAAGCAAGACCAAAATCTATCAGTTTCAATTCCCCTTCTCTCCCTATCATTATGTTTTCTGGCTTGATATCTCTATGAGCGATACCTTAACTGTGAACATGAGAAACCGCCTTGAACAGTTTTTACATTAACTCGGCTGCCTCCTTTTCCTTGAATTTTTTAGATTTCTCTAGTTTTTATGAGATTAAATCGAATAATTCTCCTCCTGGACAATATTCCATTACAAGATACACATATTCTTCGTCCTCGTAAGTTTCATAATATTTGACTATATTTGGAGAATCCAATCTTCTCAAGAAGATTACTTCTTGTTTAAGCTTATCAATCAACTTTCCAAGTTTCTTTTTAGATAAAGCTTTGACTGCCACTTTCTGCTTTGAGTCATTCTTATTTTCAGCTAAAAATACTTTGCCATATTGCCCAATTCCTAATACAACTGATCCAAACTTATATTTCCTAGAAATTTCTCTTTTTCCTCTGTTAGCGGCTCCCTTAGGTGTAACTTTAGATACCTTTTAAAGTGTGTCTTTGGTTTACTTATCCTGTGGTTTCATTTAGCATATTCCCATGTTTTAAATATATAATCTATAATGTTCTCTTATTGCAAATTATGCGATTATTATATTATTTATTAATAATATTTTACTCCACCTCCATTACAGAAAAACTTACAAGATGATAATGAATACTTTATATCGCAGAGCCTTACTTAAAAATCTTAATAACAAGCCAGTATTTACTAATAGTACCATGAGGTTTATTGCAATACCAAATTAAATGTCAAATGATCCTTACTTTATTCTGGGGGTTGACAGAAATACTAAGTTTACTGAGATTAAAAAAAAATACTTTGTCATGGCTAAGAAGTACCATCCTGATTTAAACCCAGGAAACGATGTAAAATAGGACTTGAAAATTATAATTTAGGAGATAGTATGCGAATAAAATGTTCATCCTAATTGGAGAAGCATACAGATCTATCGAATCTGATCACAATCCATTGCTAAGAGAAGCTAGAAAAAAGGCTGCTGATACATATGAAACTACTGCTGAGACAATAAATTCAAAGTTTAAGTCAAGGAGACCTGAAGGTGGAAACTAATAAGATGAAAATGATTTCTTTAAGGGGTATTAGGGAACAGGAGCAAGCGAAAAATCTTATGACTGGGATGAAGAAAAATTCCTTAGAAGATATAGAGTTTAACACTTAAGAAATGATTCAAATGTCCCTATGAGTATAAGAAACGTTGATAGACATGGAATGAATAACTTAAAGCATGATCCAGTTAAACCCTTAGATAGACTAAAAGTTCCTCCTTTTTTGATTTATTTCGTATTTTTCGGAACAATACTTGGGCTTATGTACTAGGCATAAAACGCTAAAGACCTTAATTTTGAAGAACTTCAAAGAAGAAATACCCTATTAGCAATGAAAAAGACTTAAGAGAAGATAGAGTATGAAGAAAATGAAGTAACACCAGCTGAGGTAGTTACAATGCAAACAAAATAATACAAGACAGTTGTTGAAGAGAAAGGTAAATAAGAGCAGAGGAAACTTAATACAATCAGAAGTGTCATTTTGCAGGAGAGAAAATCTGAAAAAATTGATATTAGACAGTGAATCTATGAGATATTTACCTATGCATAAAATAGCTTTATTAATTTGCAAAAATCAGTTTATTTATTTGTATTATACTAGCTTAAAGGGGTTTTGGGGTTTTGGGG